AGTTCTTTAATTTGGACAAATAAGGAGCATGAAGGCCCCCCAAATTTTAACAGAAGCACGAAAAGGCCCTAGAAACAACAGAGAAAAACCACCAGACATCACAACAAATCCCTCGGCCGAGCTGAGAAGTAGGCTACTCGTCATCGTTAGCACCGTCATAAGCCTCCTTGCCCTCTCCCCCATCGAGCTCTTCTTTGTCGTCTTCCTCCTCCTCCTCCAGGGTTAGCGTCTCTTCATCCACTTGGGTGACGAGTTCAGGCGGCACTCTCCAAGAAGTGATGGAGTTGACATCAACATCAGGGTAGAGAGACTTGAGATAGCAGTGGCACAACTTGAAGCCCTTTTTCATTGAAGGGACACCATCCAGCGCCCGCTGGTTTTCATACTTAGTAGACTTCGGGTAAGAAGCCACCACCTCCGCCCTAGCTCGCTCAGCTCTTGGACACTCCTTCTGAGAACACCTCGACCTCACCTTGGACAGCTCACGCTGCAAACATTGACGCTCTACACGCTCCCCCTCTGAGTCCAACCTAAGCTTCTACACCTCGCCGTTGATAGGAATAGGCACGATCCAACAGGGCCTGGCAGTAAGAGATCGCCTACAAAAAAAAAAAAAAACCAAGGTAAAAAAAAAAAAGAAAAAGAGAAGGGGGGAGTGCACCTACATAATACATTGGGTCATCCGGGCTCCAACATCCGCAAGGTCCATCTCAACTATCTACTGCATGTCCACCGGAAGGAGTATCCCCCTACCAATCTGAAGTAACACCCGAGCATCACCCAGTTGATCAATCACCTTAACATCTAGAACGCAAGGAGTAAAAGGAGGAATGTCGGAAAAATATGGGCCCACCTCCCGTGTAGGTTCAGGGATAGTAAAATCTGGCTCAGCAAGCATCGGGTCCCCCTCACCTTCCAGGTCAACAATGAACGGGGGGGTTCCAAAAGAGGAAGCACCCTGCGACAGCCTGTACTTAGCTCGGTGCTTCTTGCGGGCAGATCTCTGCTCAGCAGACATCATGGAGGTCAAGCTTGCCATACCTGGAAAAATGAAAAAACACCGGTTATCAAAACAAGGGGAAAGTATAAATAGACAAGTGACCTGAATTGAATGTACAATAAGTGGTTAGGCATTCGACCCACCTATCTGGCTCAGGCCTGCTTGCACAAGCATCGGCTTGGCCAGAAAATCCTCAATTTTAACAAGTTCTCGAATGAGCCGTTGAACAACAATCCACAGCTTGTCATCCTTGCACTCAAGAACATTTTGAGGACAGCTATACCAAGCGGTACTACAGCCCTAACCACCTGCCTTCTCAAGAAAAAAGAAACGATTCCTTCAATTCCTAACCTTATTTGGGAAGTTAAACATTTTCTTCCCACTACAAAAGGGGAGATAAAAACAGAAGGGACCCGAAACTTGCTTCATATGCACTAAATCCGAGAAGGCCTCAATGCTCAGGGGGAAACCACAATGATGGAGCAAACTGATTAACCCAACAAGCATCTTAACCCCATTGGGCGTGAGATGACCCAGGGACACCCAATAGCGCATCGGGACAGCAATGATGAAGGGATGAAGGGGAAAACGAAGGCCAGCCACCAAAGACTCTTCATAGACATATAAACCCTTTGGACCATGCTCCCAAGGATAACGACCAGGACTAGGCATAACCCATTGGTACTTATCTAGGATCTCGTATCTATGACATATCCCTACCACCTCATCCCCTGACAACTCGATTCCCCCAAAGAAAATCGTCTTAGCCTCGACCTCCTCCCGCCTACCCACCATCACCCCATCATAGAAAACCTCAAAGGAATTTTCATTGGAGGAGCTAGACTCCTCCCTTGACCTGCTACAATGAACCCTATCCTCTGCAAAACTATGCAACATGTTGGAAGCGAAATACTCACAAGAGGAGATGCTAGAAGGGACTTGGAAACAACCGCCGCCGGACTGACAGAAGGAAAACACAATTTGCCCACGAGAAATAGAGCTCGCCTCAGCAGAAAACTCCAAACCCTTACCTCACACTGAAAAGTCCAAAGACAAAGTGGGTACCTCGAGGGCCCCCTTATTTAAAAGCTCACCTAGAAGAATTAGTTACCTAGATTTGAAAAAGACAGGAGCCCGTCTCCCACATTTCAGCGGCGCCTGTGACTAATAGGCTACTAACAGCTAACACGCACGCCGAATTCAACGGTGCGCCAAGAGAAAAAATTGAAAAAGGTGTGCAATTTTGTGCCAATTACGAAAATCGAAGGAGGCACGCACTGTTTAAATTTCAAAAGCCCACCAAAGTGAGACTTACTATAAGCGCCAAACCAAATAAAGCTGAACTAGACCAGTTGAACCTATAGACAAAAGAGGTAAACCCAAACCGCCCCCTCCAAAAAAAAAACCTTACTCTCTTCGTCTGCTAAATAAGCGAACTCGAGAGTGGGGGCTATTGATGGGGGGCATTTTGGTCAACCCACTCGATGATGGACACATGGATGTTGTCAGTGACACAACGTCCCACTTAGCAATGTAGTTCACCGGCTTGACATACAACAGTTAATATCAGGTACGAAACCGAGCTAGAGCGAGCTCGACCTACAATGTCCGATGCAATAGAACAACTCGCTAGAGTAACACGTGGTAGTTAGCATCAAGTACGCGATTGAACTAGGGCGAGCTCGACCCTCCGTCAGCCACCAGCTTGCTCGAAACAGCCCCGTAAACAACGCCCCCACAAGCTCTATAACCGCAACACAGAAAAATGATCTACCGAGTTGACCACCCCCAGACCAGCAAGCAACCTATAACCGCCGCATGGATCTAGCAAATAACTGACCAGCACACCCCAGGATTTAGGAAACTGCTCCGTAAAACTTAGAGATATTACCAAACAACATCTGAACCTCAGGTAGATATAAAAATACCCTAGGGCCACTCAAAAAGGTATGTGCACATAAACTCTCACTCTCCCATATTCTCTCACACAAAAAGATTATTCACTAACTTAAGCAATAGAGTGACCCCTGGGTAAAATATACCTAGGGTCTCTAACCTCTCTTCCTTTTCAACTCTCAGCTCGGACCCCGAGCTCAGCACTGTATCTCAACTCACACCGTAGGCTAAACTTGATCCGAGCCACCTCATCAAATCAGAGGGAGTGAACAGATTTTGTGCTTCATCTATTGGTGGGACCATTTTTGGCTTCATTAGAATGTAATAGTATTTTTTTGCCTTTTTCTCATAGAAATTACAAGAATGCTACTCTCTACCAACTCTTTCTCTTTTGTTTTTTTTTTTCTTTCAAATTACGAGAATGCCACTCTCTCTCCTACCAACTCTTTCTCTATCTCTCTCTCTCTCTTTTTCTTTCAATTACAAGAATGCCATTCTCTCTCCTACCAAGTTTCTTTCTCTTTTTCATATAAATTATAAGAATGCCATCCCTCTCTCTCTCTCTCCTTTTAAATTACAAGAATGCCATTCTATCTCCAATTGAGGAAGACCTTAGCTTGGCATCTCGCGACTACTGGGGAACCTGCAATCAAAGGTAGTTGAGTTTGAGTCGAGTCGAGCTCAAACTTTTGAGCTCAAGCTTAAGTCTCTAATTCGAATCGAGTTAAAGCTTGACAACACCTCAACTAGTAAGGATGAGGGAAATGTGTACATAAGAAGGCCCGAGGATGAATGAAATGGAATCTAATAGTATTTTTTTGCCTTTAAGGATTGAGGATGAGGGAAATGGAATCTAACAGTATTTTCTTGCCTTTTTTCTTAGAAATTAGAAGAATGCCACTCTCTACCAACTCTCTCTCTCTTTTGCTTTTTTTCTACAAGAATGCCACTCTCTCTCTCTATCTCTCTTTCTTAAAATTACAAGAATGTCATCTCTTTCTCTACTGTCATCTCTCTCTCATAAATTACAAGAATGCCACTCTCTCTCTCTATCTCTCTTTCTTAAAATTACAAGAATGTCATCTCTTTCTCTACTGTCATCTCTCTCTCATAAATTACAAGAATGCCACTCTCTCTCCAATTGAGGGAGACCTCAGCTCGGCATCTCGGCTGTTAGGGGACCTGCAATCAAAGGTAGTCGAGTTCGAGCCGAGCCAAGCTCGAACTTTTGAGCTCAATCTCAAGTCTCTAATTCGAATCGAGCTCGAGCTAGACGACACCTTGACCACTAAGGGAGACCTCGGCTTGGCACCTCGGTCACTGAGGGAGATCTCAGCTCAGCACCTCGACAACTAAGGGAGACCTCAGCTTGACACCTTGTCAACTAAAGGAGACCTTAACTCGACACCTCGCCTGTTAGGTAAACCTCAACTCGACACTTCAGCAGTTGAGGGAGACCTCGGTTTGGCACCTCAACAATTGAGGGAGACCTGGGCTTGGAACCTCGGCTTGACACCTCGACTGCTTGAAAGACCTACAATCAAAGGTAGCCAAGCTCAAACTTCCGAGCTTTTGACCCGAGCTGAGCTCGAGCTTGAGCCTAATAGTTTATGAGCAAGCCCTTGCAACACAGGGCCCCCTCCGCTAGTATTGTATTAACTAAAAAAGTAAATATACATGTGGCTTGTATATAGAGTTTAGGTACATTATTCAAACCACTAAAGACCCCAAAAAAAATCTATATTCTAAAAAAGGGAATTCATAGATCATCTCCACTTAAACATGATAGAATAGATGCCCAATTTTTTATCATGTCCACTGCAGAATAACATGCCCAATTTTTTATCATGTCCACTGCAGAGTTAATAACCACCTCATCCAGACTAAACTTCTGTTAAAAAATCCTGCTAGTCCTTTCATTCCAGATAGCTCACATAACTGCCCAGCATACTTTGCTTCACTTCGACATCTCCTGAACTCGCCAACCAGAAAATAAATCCTTCACCAAAGCAGGAGAACATCTATAAACGGGAACGGCTTTACTGAAATGGTGCCACACTTTACAAGAGAAAGTGCGAAACCAGAGCAGGTGATTCAATGACTCAACTTCCCCAAAACAAAGAGAGCATTCAATATATAGCAGGTTGACTCCCATGCAAAAAAATTGATTTTTGATGGTGATGAAAGATCTGTCTTTCTCCTCCAATAAACTATGATAGAATGAGCTAACTGAAAACAAACCTGATTTGGACTATTTCTACTTCCTAGAGTCCTGCGCCAGCAAGATAAGTTGCTGATTGTGCAGCAGAGATAGCAAGTCATTGATTGCTGCAGCTTCCGGTCATAAAAATTCCTTCTAAAGGTAGGAATTGACTTGATCAAGGGCATGAGAATTCAGACTCTTTATAGAGAAAGGATGTAATTATTAATCTTTACATGTAATTTTGACTCGTCCTATAGGTGAACAGAATTAGATACTGGACTTTGACAGATTGGGCACACCCCATATATCTAACTAAAGGATGGCTTTTTTTTATTAGATAGAAAAAAAGTTGAGCATTTATTTACTTGGCAATTGAACAACATAAAGAAATGTTTAGATAGAAATACACTTGGAATTCCTTGATTATGTTTTCATTTTATGTTTTTAAATCTTAGTTTACAGTATTTTATTTTCAGAAGGGGAATTTTATCTCATCCATCATTAAACTTATATGAACAAATTACAGCACTTACCCTCAAAAAATGAAAATAGAATTGTCTAATAACTCTGGCCCAAATAAATATTTTAGTCCCATCCACTATTTTCTTCAAGACCCACCATGCCATCAGTGCACCAGTCATCATCACTTGATCCTGACACGCTGCCATTAAGGCTTGCCTTATTGGTCTCCATGTCAAGTAATGCCAATTCAGATCCATCTCCATTAACAGTGAAATGTTTTAAAAAAGTGGTGCCATGGAACAATGCTTGGCCATCTGTTTGGGATTCCATGTCGTTTGGCTCGTATACTAGATGAACCCCACATTTCTTCACCAGCAGTGCAGTTTTTATTGAATGTGTTTCTATTGAAACCTCTACTTGATCCCCACTTTCCAAACAATTCCCAAACTTACTATGTCTTCTATGGCCCACCCACATGTGAGGTTGATGTGTTATTTTTGGAACCTGATGGAATTTTGGTGAGTATCTCCATTCAAGACCTTTTGTTTTATCACTAATCTTAGCATAAGCAAGAAATGCAAATTCATCTGCCTTTCTCTCTGTGGCAAAAATAGCACATATGGTCAACCCCTGGATCTTACGATCCAGAAGTGTGGGCACCTCAAAAGATATGACAGATCCCATTTTTTGATGATCAAACCAATCTGGAACCTCGTTCCCATAAAGAAAAATGTCAAACTTCCCACGTTCTTGTAGTACCTGTTCCATGAAAATTTAATCGTGATCTTTAACAATACATATATTGAGAGATCTAGAGAGAGATAGAGAGAGACAGACCGGCAGGAGAGTATTCTTGAAAGTATTTGACAGACTGTTGCATCTATCCATGTGAATACGTTGTATAGATTCCAACCTCTCTAGGCCCTGAATGTCAACAAGCCTGCTGCAGTTGTTCAGGAGCAAGGCTGATAAGTTCTGCAAGTTGGATAGATTTGATAATCTTTTCATTGATATGCAACCATCTGCATACAAGGCCCCTAAACTTGATGGTAGCTCTGGGAGCGATTGGAGATTCTTGCAATTCTCCAACCTAAGGATTTCGAGCTGAGAGAGACGACTAATTCCATCAGGTAGGTTGTAGAAATTGTTTTTGCGTAGACTTAACTCTAACAATGAGGTTAACCTTTCAAGATTTGATAATCTCTCCATTGATGTGCAACCATCTATGTACAAGAGAGCCAAACTTGATGGAAGCTCGGGCAATGATTTTAGTCTGGTGCAATTCTCCATTCTAAGGCTTTGAAGATGAGAAAGACAACTTATGCTAGCTGGTAGGCTGCAAAAATTGTTTCCTGCTAAATACAACCATTGCAATGAAGACAGGCTGCCAATGTCACTGGGAATCGCACCTTCTCGCAAATTGCAGTCTGTGAGATCTAGCATTGTCAAGGAGCATAAACCTGGTACTACAGGGTTGAAATCATGGCTTCTTCTTGGTGATCCCCAACAGTTGAAGAATGAATACCATGAGTTGAATGAAAACTTTCCTAGTTTCGAGCAGCCACAGAGATTAAGGTTTTCAAGAGACCTTAATTTACAAAAGCTACTTGGAAGATTCCTAAGGTTTCTACAGTTTTCTAGATTCAAGAAAACAAGTTTCTCCAGAAGTCCAATGGAATGGTGAACCTCAATTAAATCAACACAGCCTTCAAGTATTAACCTCTCAAGATTTGGGAGTCCAAAGAAATCTGGGGTTTTGGTTAGGTATTGGCAATGACTGAGATTAAGGATTTTCAGTCTTGCAAGCAACTGCAAGTAGAAAAAAAAATGTAGTAGATTAATTTATGAAAGAGGTAATTGGTTCAAAGAAGAAAATCACAAATATAAGTATTTTACCTTGGTTTCCTTCCAAAGTTGTTTTAGCTTGCTATGTTGCAAGTCAAGAGCAACAAGATTCTCCGGATAAAAATCCATGGGTAGAAAATTCAAAGGGAACCCATGCCAGCAAAGCCATCTTAACTCCCTAGGAAGATGCTCAAAACCCCCACTTAAGTGTACATAGTTGAGCTGGAGCAGTCTTAGCTTGTGCATCATTGCAAATGCTTCAGTGCTCATATATGCATCAATAAATCCAGATGAGTCTTCTAGGACAATGCCTTCAACTGCATTTGTTCCCTAATAACAAACAACATCAATAAGCTGGTGTGCCAAAACCTAAGAAACAAAGAATGAAATGTACACAATGGACAGAGTTGTCCACATAATCTAGGTTACACGTCACATTCTTTTAATTCTATAGTAATAATTGTTGTCTCAGACTTTAAAGATCCAGATTTTAGGGAAACTCTTACTGTTCAGGTCTTTGTTTTGTCGGTACATCGAACTTCAAAGAGTAAAAAATGATTCATGTATTAGCACTTACCCTTTGTTTTGTCAGTACATCGAAAATATCCTTATGGAACCACAGTCTGCTTCTTCTTCCAGGCTCCTTTGGGGATTCTTCACGAACAATTTCCCTCCCCATGTCCCGAAGTAGATCATGCATTCTCACCTCATTCTTTTCATTGACTGTCATGAGTGACCTTCGAACGAGAATACCAATTCCAAATTCTGAGGGAAATTCACAACCATCCAATATTATAGTTACAATGTCTTTGTCCATTCCAATAAAGAAGCATGCAATATCTAGGAATATATTTTTCTCTTGATGATTTAGTGCATCAAAACTTATCCTTAGCTTCTTCTGAATTTGATTGGGAGGAATTTTTTCCAGTTTCTCTAAGGCACTTGTCCATTCAGGTATACTTCTTTTGTCATGCAGAAAAGAACCCAAAACCTCAAGAGCTAAAGGAATTCCTCCAACATGGCGTACTAGATTGTTTGTGAGGTCCACATAACCTTCTATTGGATGGTATTTTCTAAAGGCATGCCAACTGAAGAGCTCGATAGACTCATCTTCAGTTAATTCTGTAGCTTTATATATTTCATCCACTTCAAGCTCATATAACAAATGCTCATCTCTAGTTGTTATGATGATTCTACTTCCTGAACCAAACCACTCACGCTCCCTAGCTAATACATTTATTTGGTCTAATTGATCCACATCATCAAGAACAATAAGAACCCGTTTATTGGAAAGTCTTTCTTTGATCTGATTAATTCCTTCAGAAATATTGATTACCTTTAAGTCCTTTTCCATTAATACACCAGAAAGAAGTTGCTCTTGTAAGCAAACTAAACCATTGGGTTGTTCTGATACTTCTCTAACATGTTGAAGAAAGCATCTACCATTAAATCTGCGGAAGGTTATATTATAGACAGCCTTTGCAATTGTTGTCTTGCCTATTCCACCCATACCACAAATCCCTATAATACGAATATCACTTGAATAAACATTCAACAATGAATAAACATCACCCATACGGGAATCCATTCCAACTAGGTAGGTAGTGACATCCAACAGTTTATTGTTTAATTTTGTTAATACCCCTTCAACAATTCCCTGTATAAACTTTGACTGATTCCTGCCAAAAGTGATCCAAGAAAAAACAATGGGAAAAATATAAGCAAAATAAATATGTAATCGTTTGTAACAAGCCATAAAGAGATTACCAGCTACAATATAATTTTTTTTATGCTTAAATTTTGGTTGTGTCCTCAAACATATACATGCAGGATAATAACCTACAGAATCAGTTCAAGACGAAAACTTATGTAACTAAAATAATTCCGGTACATTGAATACATGTCAAACGAAGAACAAAATCTATATGCAACAGTTCATAGATTTTTGAGATAGGTGATATTTATTCTTTAATTGATTATTGCTAGTTTCTAGTTGTTTTCATATTAGATATTGATTCGGATTCCTTCACACTACCAATGTGATGGTCTGTTGGCCAATGCTGGTCCCGACTATATGTGGTCTTGGGAAGAGTCTCGATATGGACCTATCCTCTGGAATTTTTAGAATGAAGTGGCTGCTCTCTGTCTCAGATTTGAAGCTCCGCTCTCACGCTTGTCAGCCAAAGATTTTATCATTGTACCAAGAAAGTTTGGCTAGACTCTATCAATAATTGAATGCAATTTGGCTCAACTCATTAGTGCCTGATTAATAATTGGATCACATTGTATCTGGTCTTCCAGCAGGACCAGCACCTATCAGATTCTACTTGTAGAAATATGCTGTTTTTTTGCTCAATAATGTGTCTGATAATAACTTGATAAAAGTTGTACTGATGGATATTGGATGATTATTACTAGCAATAATCAATTAAAGAATAAACATCACCCATCTCAAAAGTCTAAACAATAATTAAATAACATAAAAAAATAAGAAAAGATTTTTGCTTTTTAAAGGCGATAAAATTTTATTTTCAAGGCAAAGTATTCCCATCTCAAAAATCTACACCAATAGAAACAAATCAATCTATACCAACAACTACTACAATCCTCTTTTCTCTACCACAGAAAAAGGAACAAAAAAGAACTCCTGAAACAAGAGCAGTTGAATTTTGTTAAAAGCAAAAGGGAACTTTATTACCTATAGGCAACATTTCGTAGATCCCACCCCGACAAATTCGCAACTTCGGTGAGAGCTGTCCTCCACCTCTGCACCTTCTCCATCATCCACACATCCCCAAAACATTCCTCTTCGTGTCTTTTAAATGCTTCTGCAAAATCCCCACATTGCTTCCGGACATCAGACGGATCGACATCATAGAAAACAGGCAGAACCAATTGCCCAATTGTTCTCCTGCATTCTAGAATTCTCACAAGTTTGTCCAGGCACCAACTGGAAGAAGCGTAATTTCTTGAGAAAACTATGACCGCAACCCTTGATTCTTGAATTATTCTCATCGGCTCTGATGGAGCCTGTCTTCCTCTCTCGAGTTCATCTTCGCTGTTGTCTCTCAAGGTGTGGATTCCCCTTTTGACCAAGGCGGCGTACAGTCGATCGATGAAGTTCCTGTTGGTGTATTCACCTCTGAAACTCATGAAGACGTCATAATTCCATGGATGAGTGGAGGTAGAGGCTTCTTGAGCTTGGGTCATCGTGTCAGCCATGGACAAGCTCAAATGATCGGATAGCTTGATGGGCTTCTGAGATTAGTGAAATATCATTCCTACTCACTGAGAAACCACCGTGTTGATTACCATGAATCACGACAAGCAGACAACTGCAGAGTCTTGGGCGGGACTTTTCTCTCCGACAAACGGAATAAAGAGGAAAATAAGCGCAGCAAAACCTGATAAAATCTTTTCTTTGACTTACGAGTCCTTCAGGCTTCAACAGTCAAGGACAAAAGTGCCCTTGACTGTTGTGTAAATTTTCAAAACATGGCCTTAGACTGTTATCAAGGCTTCATCCATGCACAGGACTTCAAAAATCAAAACCAGAGAATAAACCACTTGTACATTCTTGTTATTCCACGTGGACAATTTATTACTGCAAATTGCTTTAAGTTAGTTGGGACTTGGCAGTACTCTCACCTTGTATTCGTAGATTCTCTTGATCGGTTAACACAATCAATTCAATTTCTTTACTCCATACGAAATTTATATGGCATAAGAGAACCGGGCGATTCGTCTTCCCTGAATTTCCGCTTCCCTTCTCATGTCCGATGCGAAGTGTTCCTGTCGGCACAATCAGAATCTTCTTAATTCGACGAGGTCGTGGTGAAAGGATGAATTCGTACATTTTGATTAGCAATCGGGAGATAGGTCAAAGGCACGATAAATCGGTAGGTATTCTGATATTCAAGTCAGTTGGGTAGAAAAAGAAGTGGTCGGACCGAGTAGGTTGAAAAAATGTTAGCCCAGGTCAAAGAGATAGTATAGAGAAATATTTAAAGAGTATTTTTCCAAAAGATTCTTTACCTCGAGCGGGAAATACATATTTATAGTTGGGTATCCGTGTTTAAGATGAATAAGGCTCTCGGGGTTGTTGGGATGAAATCGTCTAACGAGGTCTTTGGGAGGTTTCCTCTTCTTCGGTGGAGTCCGTTTCCTTGTCCATACAGGACACTCCTTAGTCGTGCTCTTCCGTCATATGTGATGTCAACGTGGCTTGAGAGAGAAAATGGTTGTGGATGTTGCCACCTAGCATCCTTGGCTAGTTCAATCATAATCTAAACATCACTCCCCTAGTTATGAAGTCGAAAAGTGTAGTGCTCGACCACGATTAGGTGTGGAAGAGTTTTGTGGTCTTCGACTGAGGAACTTTAATTTCTTTGAGTTGACTGGCCTAGAGTAAGGCCAATTTGGGCGAACCAGTCGGTTCAACGCTCGTGCCATTTCTAAGGTGGGTCCGCAAACATGTCATTTCATCTTTTTGAGGTCACGTGTGCGAAGTGTGGCATCAAATCGGTGTCGTTGATCTGGTTTGATCTGAACTATTGGTTGCCTTTATAAAAAGGGGATAGACGAGTCATCCACATCGGTGTTTGGATGACGTCCCTTGCTTGATATCCTAGGTGTCCAAAATTTCTTTTTTTTTTTTTCTTTGGTAAGATGTCTTTCACTACGTCTTAATTCCTTGTCTTCCCTTTTCATTGGGTACACTTTGGAGGATGAGAGGGAGGGTAGTCCTCAGTGCAAGGCGACTGATGTTAGGGTGCCGGAGATTGATGCCAATGTGGCCAAGGTTGACGCTGAGGTCTGAGAGATCGGTACTGATGAGGTGGCCAAATCTAATGTGGAGTCTGAAGAGCAAACCCTTGAGGGATGACTTGGGGAATAATTTGCATCGGCTCTATGTAGCCTTTCTTTGGCCGACCTGACTCCGATCCAAGAAATGCATTACATTCCCGAGGAGTACGAACTGAGGTGTCTTGGGATTGGGGAGAGGGCCTCTTCGGCCTATCCAAGGAAATTTGTGTATATGTCCACAATTTTATAGTTGTCCTTAAGTTTCCTTTAGATCCCGGGGTAGTGGTCGTCCTAAGGTAGTACTGGGTCTTGCCTGTTTAGTTGATGTTGAACTCGTTTCAATACCTAGTCGGGCTACTGTAGTACTACACTCTTAAAGATATTGAAATCACCCTACCGATGTTTAGATACTTTCTCCACTTGAAGAAGTACAAGTAGGGGTACTACTACTTGTCTTCCAGGCCAAACACCAAGGTGCTTGTTGGGGTTCCCTCTTCCATTAAGTACTGGAAAGAGGGTTTTTTCTTTGTAAAATGTTGAGGAGGTTGGCCATTCTCCCTCACCCTGTCCGTTCCGAGGTCCAAGGATAAGGGTCCTTCCCAGATCGAGCTATCAAAGGAGGAGATAGTTGCTAGGAGGAGGATTGTGCGAGTGCACATTGAGGAGTACACATCGTCCCAATTGCTGACCATGGCTGGGCTAATGTGCCCTTCAACTGATCAATCCCAGTTCGGTCCATGGGTTACGCGGTCTTTCTTTCTTTTTGGTGAGCTTGTCTAACTTTGTGATGAGTTATGTAGACTTGGACATGGCTGGCATAAAGGAGAGAGCTCGGTGTATGAAGGCCATGGCTACGAGGAAGGCGCAAGCGGTTAGGACTTTGGGCGTGTAGCCTAGGGCCATAGAGCTTCAATGTCACTCAATGGAATTTACACCTCAATAGGGGAAGAGGCCAAGATCGGCGGAGGAGGTTGTGGTGATCAACTCCAAGAAGACAAGAATTAACTTAGGCGGTCCTCGTCGGGGATGCTCCAAAACATGATTTGGTTGAGGCTTCGACCAGTGTATACATGCCATAATGGTCGGGGTTCGTCTTCACTAAATTTCCACTTCCCTTCTCCCCTTTGTTTCCTCCACTTTTTTTTCTTTGGGAATGGCGATGGCCACTAGAACAGCGGCGGGGATCTAACTCTTACAGATCCAACACCGCCGTATTACCTGAATACCTCCAACAGCCCTGCATTGTTCTCGCATCTTGCTTGTTGAATGGCAAGAACTATGCTACCTAGAGCCGAGCCATGGAATGAATGCACCCCACGTCTTCCACTTGAAACGAGAATTGGCCCTACTACACAAAGATAATCTCTCGATCTTGAGCTATTTTACTTAAATTGTGCATGTGGTGCAAAAGAATTCCCAGCCGAGAAAGATAAAAGAAAAGTGACGAATCAATTTTTGGTGATGTATAATTTTTTTGGCTAAGTACCTCGTTATTTGGTCAGCTTCCAAGTGGCCGATGACTAAGAGGCCGAAGTGGAGAACTTTTGCTGGATGAGGACCTAGATGCCAAGCTGACCAGGCCGAACTAGGGGTAGATTGAGTGTCGAGCTGACTGAGCCGAGCTGGGCAGGTTAGGTGCCGAACTGGTCCAAGCTGGGCAGGTTAGGTGACGAACTGACTAGGCCGAGCTACATATTAGGTGACGAGCTTACCAGAGGGCCGAGCTGCCTATTAGGTGTCGAGCTAACCAGAGTGCCGAGCTACCTATTAGGTGTCGAGCTAACCAGAGGGCTGAGCTGCCTATTAGTTGTCGAGCGGGCTGGTGGCGAGCTGGATTGATTGTTGAGCTTCGTCGTTCTTTAGAGGTGGCTAAACCGGCGAGGTCGCTCCGATGCTTAAGTCAGTACTCTCCTAATAGATTGCGAGCTAAAAATCACAAACTATGAGAGCTAGAATATGCTTATTTGCCCCCCCCCCCCCATGTCATTGGGGTTGGTGCCTTTATATAGGCATTGTTTGGCATGTGCTTCACGCACCGTATCCGAGATTTTCGTGAGGTCGTCTAAGTGGTTCGAGATTCCCGGAGGTAACTGCCATGCACGTTGACCACCCTCCGGATCATTCAGCACGTGGGCCAACTTCCAAGGATCGTGGGAGTGTTAGGATATGCATGCCGAATTCGTCAACGAGCACGTCTCGCATGCCGCCAGTTCGCGCCTGGCTCAGACCGTCAGGCTGACGCCTATGCCATGCTGCCAGGTCACGCTTGGGCAGGCCGCCAGTTCATGCCAGGTCACGCCTGGGCCAGGCCGCCAGGTCGGTACCTGTGCTAGGCTGCCAGGTCCCACCAGGGCCAGGCCGCCAGGT